CGGGTTTCAAAGTGGGGGGAGGCACAATCGTCAAATTTTAGAATAGACCTTTTTTCTTAAAAAAAAAAAAAAAATTTTTTTTAAAAAGAAGGTCCTTTATAAAAAAGTGGGGGGGGGGCACGTTTATCTGAAATCACTAAACAAATTAAATATAAATGAATTCCAGCAAAATAATCTAAACTAATTTAAATATTGTTTATAAATGCCCTCTTTATTTATTATCTTGTAATCAATTTAATTTTCCTTTTATAATTTTATAAAAAACAGTAAAAAAGTCTATTGATTTGTTTATATTTATGGTAGTGGCTAAATTATTTGGATATATTTTTGGATTTGATACCACAGCGAAAGAAAATATCAATAGCCTTAATGAGAATAATTGATAAATATCAATGGCCATATCAGCAGCCTTAGTGTCATTTGTGTCTCGCTTGTAATGTAAAAATATAACTCTAAGTTTATTACTCTGGATCAAATACTATGAAGGATAGATGGTGGTTTTTAAAACCATTAATTTTCTCAGATGTTGAAGGGTCTAGTATATCCACACGCATTTGTGTGTATGTGTATTGGCTGCTGGGTGGCGGCCGGTACACTAACAATATTATAATAAGTAGATTTTAAGAGCTAATAATAGTTAAATATACTCACTGACAACAATACCAACACACTACCTGGTGGGAAATGACCTAGCGACTAGCGAGAGACTAGCTAGCTTTATAGCGATTTTCAAGCGATTTTTTTTTCTTATTTTATTCTTTACTAATGTCTCTAACATCTTTAAAAATTCGATTTTTAGTGTTGAGTCTATTATAATTATGAGAATAATTGAACTTTAAACATTCCAATTTTGTAGCAATGTGTCGCTAGCTACATATCGTAGCTTTGTAGCTAGTTACAAAACATCTACAAATCTATAGCTGGTTGATAGCTACATACCAAATTTTTTTTGATAGCGAATATATTACGATATGACGGAAGCTACAATAGCCTCTGAGTCTTTAGCTTATTAAGCTAGCTGTCCTCGAAGCCAAATCGCTGTCTTTATCTTTACAAATATCGATAGCTTTTCGCTAACTTAAAAAAGCTAGCGATCCTCGTGGCCAAATTGCTGTCTTTATCGTAACGATTACATCTAGCTATTCGCTAACCTATTTGCCACCGGGTAAGCTGATAACTGAATAATATGAAACTAAAATTAGACGGCATGACAGACAGCCAATTTACCATAATATCACAAATTTATAATTTAAATTTAGAACCCCTAAATTGACCGGCCCAGGTGGATTTCTCAGCTTTTCCGCTCTGGCCAGTCCACCCCTGTTGCAGCACATTTCTCACAAAATAGTATGATATCTGGTCTGCATTTTTTTGACCATGGCTAACAAAAAATGTGTCACTGACCCCAAGTTTCAGCTTTGCAACCTATTCTTTCTAAACTAATAAATTCCTGATTCGTTAATAAAACATTTCCTGATATTTTAAAATTATCTTGTGTTATTTTAATATCTCTAAACTTTCATGAATTAACATTAGTAAAAATTTTTGTATTCTAGAGTGTACTTATTCTAAACTTATTAAATTTTTTAAATGATTTTCAATTTGTTTTAATAAGTAATGTAAATGTAAATGTAAATGTAAAGTAATGCCACGCATTAATAAGTATAATAGAAAAAATCAAAAAAGCATTTTGTTTGCGGTGTTTTTATAAATTTACAAACAGCGTTTTATCAACGGTATCAACCGTTGAGTATAATCTGATTTTTAAATTATGAAATTCGCGGTGTTGTAAATAAAGCGCCGTGGTAAGTGAGTCGGAGGCCTCCCTACTTTCAAAAATAAATCCTGCCATTAGGACCCCAAAATCATAATATTTTTAAGGTATTACAAAAATACCTGAAAATTCTGAATATATAATACTTTTTTTTTTTAATAATCAATAACTTTATTATTAAAAATAATTCTATTCTTGTTAACTATAATAATAAACTATTTTGATATATATTATTATTATTACTTTTTTTTTTGTTATTATTGTTAACACACTTATTATAACTATAAATATAATTTGTATTAATTTTGTAATCTTATATTTTTATAATTAATAATTATTGATATTATTATTACTATTGGATACTATTGGAAAAATGATTCACGGAAAAAAATAGTTTGCTGTTGTTGTTGATTTAATATCAAAAAGTTATTAAAATTTTACGGCCTAAATAACCGGATAATGGGGTCAAAATTTTACCCTGTATAGAAACCATCCGATAGTTTTAACAAGGACGGTTTCTATTAACTTACTAAAAATAGATTTATTTTTTTCGTTAGTTATGCGTAAATAATCAATATTGTTGATTTCAATATTAGTTAGTCTATTCTTAAGTAAATTTACGAAAGTATCTTAAAATTTAAATGCTTTATGGGTAATTTAAGTTCTAAATCTTTGTATATTTGCTCTGTTCACTTAGTATATTTACGCTATTTTTATCCTTTGCTTCAAAGAGGACTATAGTTAAACGAAAGATTATAAACCAAATTTTTTATTTATATTACTTTTATATTATTATTTGGTCTTCTACGAGTATTCGCGTTCTTTAATCTTTATTTATTTCTTATTATGTCACAATTTTTTTATTTTACGTATGTTAAAACATCGCAAAAGTTGGTTGTTTTTCCGATCTAAATCCAACGTTGATCTAATGTTAACCCAACGTTGATCAACGTTAACCCAAATTTATTTAGATCAAAGTTAACCAAATGTGAATAACCTTACATTGGTCCAATGTATATGGATTAACGTTGATTTAATGCTTATAACACAACCTTAATCCAATGTGTATGCTTTAAAGTTAGATTATAAACATTGGATCAACGTTTATTTATAATAGGATGAAATAACGTTGGATTATATACTGTGGATCAAAGTTGTGTATGCATTGAGAAAAGGCAGGTATACAAATATGTATTTTTATAATTAGTAAGAACTATTTTTCATTCAAATATTTCAGTTAGCTATGGAAATATATTTTTCTAATACAAACATAAATAATGCCTCTTTAATCAGATGCAGTCATCAGTAATACTGATTTATCAAAATGGTTGAAATATCTATGTATAAGTACATATATACAATTATATATGCGTATAAATATATATTTAACTTGCATATACATATACTAAAATATTGAACAAATAAGTTTAATTCCTATAAAAGTTAAATTAAACGTTGTGCAAACGTAAAATATAACGTTGCTTTAACTTAAATACAATGTTTCGCCAACGTAAAATACAACGTTGTGCCAACATGAAATACAGCGTTAAAGTATTACACCATGCCGACTTAAAATACAACTTTGTTTTTTGGTTGTGGCGACGTTGCATTTGTAACCAAAATGATGTAAGAACAACGTTAGCCGTCAATGCTGGGCCAATTATTTTTGATTATTTTCTTTTCTTTTTGTTTCAGTTTTTTTGTTTCAGTCTTTATTTTTTCAGCAAATACTTATGTACGCTAGCGCGAGATAAACGGTGTTCATTAATGCTAAACTTATATATGACAATTTTTGCAAAAAATGTAATTAGTGGTTACTCTTTAACCTGCTTTAGAGATCAGAAGAGATTAGTTGGTAATAAAAGCATCACTTAGTAGTTTACTATTGTAGGTATTCTAGGTGTCTTTGGTTAAGGAGCTCTTTCTACCATTGCATAAAAATTGGGTTTTACATTAAACTTTTATTTCCCCGAAGTAAATTTCTTTACCACAAGTGATAAGTCTTGTCTATGACAAAAGTGATATTTTTCAATTTGATAAGTTGTACTGACAAACCCGCAACGTTGACAAAACCTCAACAATTTACATCAACAAGTTCATTTATCGTGGTTTTATAATAAAAAAAATCAATGTATACACAAAATTAATTTAAGAATTTATTATTATTCAATACATTAACAAAGTATAGACTCTTCTTAATAAAAAAAATGTTATTCAACTAGAAATATTTGATTATTTCACTGCGATTTTATTTTGTAAAAATTAAATCTAACAAAACTACCCTACTTTTCTTTAATGTTTTTAATGAGATATTTTATCAATCATGTATCCAAGAGCGGTTCTACGGAAGGGTGTGGGGTATTACACTCTCCAATAAATTTTGAGTGATAGTCGGTTTTTTAAAGGATATAGTCGGTTAGTCGGGAATTAGACACATTTCAGTCGGATGATTCTTAATTTTGAGGAAATGTCGTAAAAAAGAAATTAGGACGTTTTTTTAACAAAGAAGATATCACTTTTTAATAAAGATTTGCCAACCACTCTCATTTTATTTCTAAAATTACCCTAGTCAGCATACTTTTTTGTTGTTAAATTTAAAAAAAAAATGCTTTTAGGACTTCTTGTGATAACAGTTTTGTCATTCTTACCTTTTACCTTCTTTGAGACTTAAATTTGTAATAGTTATTAAGTCTTTTTAGATCTCACAGTTTGTTAAATAATTAGTAAATTAATAAATATCATAATTCGGCTAAGAAGAATTACAAGATCTAGGCAGAAAAGAGTATCTCGGCTCTTGGCTAAACATTCCAATCAACTAGACCTGCTCGCATCTTAATGAGCATCCACCTTAGTAACCTGTATTTAATAAAACTTTACGACATTAATATTTTGCGTTTTTTAGAATGCATTCACTATTCATATCAAGTTAGCTAGACGGATGTTTTTTGAGGGCTATTTTAACGTAACCTTATCTTCTTAAAACAGCTTCGCTACGTTATGTTTGAAAACCATTTTACATTAAACAGTTGAATTAAAACTAATTTTAAATTTGAATAAAAATGATATTAAACACTTTAAAAATACTTAATATAACTTTCATTATTTTACAATACAACTTTCATATTTATTGTCAGATATAAATAAAAAGTTTATAAATTAAGTTTATAAAAGTTTATTTGAGTTTATAAATTTTTTTAAAATACAAAAAAATATCATTTTAACATACCATCATGTGTTGTATGACATGTGACTGGTATCCTGTAACTCTATGTTATTAAATCTTTCTATATATTTTTTCAACAAAACTTTATTAGTTGTATATTAAAAATTTCTTATTCATTATTTATTATTTTGAAATAATTTACATTATTAATATTTTTTAATATATAAGATTGAATACCGAATTGTATATGCTGTGTTCCACTGTGAATACCGAATTGTTTTTACAGTGTTCCGCTGTGAAAATAAAAAAATTTTCGAATATTTTGTTTATTCATTATTTTTAAAATAAATTTTTTGTCAAATTCTTTTATATAAATATATATGAATATAAACGGCGCACGAGGTTGCTAATTTTTTCAAGCGGGATAACTAGTAATATGCCGCTTTTCTTATGTTTATTGTTTTTTGTAAGCACGGAAATCATAGGTCGTGATTTTTCGTAACGAATCAAAACGGAGGAGAAAACTTATCGTAAATTTTAGCAACTATTTTTCGTAATTCTTTTGTACAGTAATTTTGTACTGTAATAGGAAAAAAAAATTTTCGCAATTTATCGTTAGTGTACAATTATTTTATGAACCTATTAATTTCATATTTCTTCAAAGAATTCCGATCTTTTCGTAATTTCTGTAAATTCTTTGCAATTATAATTATTAAAAACTTATTCTTAAAAAACTGTTTTCTTGATATCATTTGTTATTTTGTTTTGTTTTGTTTTTTTCTAATTATCAAAATCGTGACTTTTTAATTGAGATTTCTGATTTGTCTATTGACTTGGTTATTGTCATTTGTAAGTTATTTAAACCAGTAAGCTGTATTAGAATGACAAGTAATTTTCATTTGTTTCATTATTTAGTGTTAACAACTTCATTTTGAATTGATTATTTTTTACAAATAGTAGCTAATAAATTTGTGACTTTTTTGAGGTTTTCAGTTGAAGTTATATTTACACGAGATTTTAAAATTTAACTGTTTAACTGTTGAAAATAAATTAATTCAACTCTTTTTTAACCTTTTTCTAAAAATATAAAATGTACAAAAAATGAGTTTTTAAACTTTAATGATCGAATTATTTGAGCGTCAAAATACTCTTAGATGAAATTTGAAAAAGAAGTAATCGCAAACTAAACATTCTCAATTCATTGACGAAGAAACCAGTAAAAATAATTTTTAATTAAAAAAATTTCTTTTCGCTGTCAAATAGTTTTTAGCCAACTTTGTTTTTAACTATCTTTACCACAAAAAAACACATGTTCAAAATCACTATTCCTTAATTACATAAATTTCGCTGAGTTGTTTCTTTCTGATTCTTTTTCTTTGCTGAAAAAAAAAATCTGTTTTTTATGACAGCACGAAGAGAATTTTTTTCTAAAATAAGGGATCACATTGTAAAATATTTATGTTGCTATTATAATGGATTAATAAAAAATATTTAAAAAGAGTTAAAATGACTTTCAGATTATTTTGTGTGTGGTTATTAAGGTGCCTCCGAAATTCCTTAAGTCTTATCATAGAACACCGCGGAGGAAGATATGACTAGTAAATTCAAGTCTGTTTCCTAATCATGAGCCTTTATTGGATGTATTGAGCTGTTAGTAAAATTTGATCCTTTCTTCAATAACTAATGAAAACAAAGGAAGGGATTGTACCTCGTACTTATCATTTGTAAAAATCTCTAACACTTAATAGCCACCGAATTGGCTATTAACACTGAAGAATTTATAGGCAATATGATCATCCTTAAGTAACATTTTTCTTTTATTTACTTCAAACATAATTTCTTAGTTAGCAAAATCAAATTTGCAAAATATTTCTCAAGCATTGTTGATTCTACTTAACGATGTATTGATTCTACTTAACGATATACTGGTTTTCTGTTTTGTACACATTGTTGATGTGTACAAAACGGAAAACCAGTTGTGCGGTTCTTAGAAATCATTCTCATGGCCGCAATTCATTTTTCAGTTTTCATGCTTGAAATTGTTTTGAAAAAGTTAGATTAGAATGCGATCGTCATTCAAAATTGCCACAACCAGTTATATAACAATGCCAGTAATATGTGTGGAATCTACTTGGTTTACAAATAAGAATTAAAGAGATCAACGTTCTCGCCGAATACATTCCTTGTGTTGTTCACTATTTGAACCTCTTAGGAGTGAGTGCCGCAAAATTCTGTGGCACTCACTCCTAAGAGATGATGAAATTAACAGTGTGGAATGCGATCTTTAATGATTGCCAACGTTAATGAGAGCACGGACAAACTAATGAGTGATCTAAACAAAAACTTGTTGACCGATCTCCTACTGATCTTAACTTTCACTTATTGAAAGAATGTCTTCATTTCAGAAAACCAGGTATTGGAGTCCATTGACCTAAAGATATCATATCTGCTTTTGTAAGCTTAAAATGCAGAAGAATGAAGTTTCAAAGCCTATACTAATCGCAGCGTGTTTTTAATAATAAATAACGCGAGATGCTTAATTAAATGCAAAAGAAAATACATTATAAAGCTATTGTGCAACAAATGCAAAGTTTTTTTATTTTAAACTGCTGTGAAATTTGAATACTAGGAGGTCAACAGGGGCCAAAAGGCCAAATAAAATTGTCAATTTTTTTAATAGTAGGGTGGGGTAATGTGGGTCTAGGGGGTAATGTAGGTCTAATTAAGATTTATCAGTTTTTCATTAGAAACGTTTTAGATAGAAGTTTTTTTATTCTGTATAATGTAGGTGGTTACTAGCTCTCTAAATTTTATGTTGTAGGTGGTTAAAACAAAGATTTTTTATAGGTGGTTAAAACATATATATATATATATATATATATATATATATATATATATATATATATATATATATATATATATATATATATATAAATATATATATATATATATATATATATATAATATATATATATATATATATATATATATATATATATATATATATATATATATATATATATATATATATATATATATGTTTTAACCACCTATAAAAAACCTTATATTAAACCTTATATATATATACACCTATTAAAAACCTTATATATATATATATATATATATACATATATATATATATATATATATATATATATATATATATATATATATATATATATATATATATATAATTTTATTTATTTTTTAAATCATAACCATTTTTTGTTTTTCATTTTGAGCCTTTTTCCTTTTTTTGCTGGATTTCGCTCATTTTTACTTCAGGTATCTAATAGCGAGGCTCTATATAGATGGTCAGGATTAAAGTTTTTCTTCTCTGTCTTGAAAGACTCCTTTGCAGTGACTACTTTTGGATGGCTGACAGAAGCACAGAGGTGGTTAATAACAACCATGTCACATGTCATATTAATATCAACAGTTTCTGATTGTTTTTTTTGCATCCACCTGCTTGAGAGACATTGATTCCAGGCACCTAGAGGTGCTTTATCCATTAATTCTGACATCAGGAAAGATCATCACGGGCGGCATGTACCTCCCACTTGCTGAAGAGAAAATAACAGCTGTGACAAGCTGACCCCTATCAGCCGAAGTGAGAGAACCAACTTGTTTCCTATATCTGGTTGAAAAGATTTTAGAGAGACACTTTGGAATTGTAAAAATACCTTTTTTGTCACAGCTCCAGATATTTTCAACAAGTAGCTTGGTTGTGTCCACAACTTCTTCCAGTAACAAAAAATAAGGATCCGCAGCCACTCAGTTGAAGCTCATGGCACGAGCAGTTGATGTAACCTCCAGTTTACAAAGTGAAAAATGTTTGGAATGTTTCTCCATGAAACCTATATACCAGTGACAACTGGCAACGTCATTATTAAAACTGTGTTTCTTATTATTTTCAATTGCCAGCTCGTACGCTAACTTTCTTAGCTCAAATGACCTGAGTTTATAAGACATCTTTTCGATCAGCTGAATATGCATAAAAAGTTTATTTTCTTCCTCTGGGGTGAATATTGTTTTGAAAGCACCTAGAGCTGAAATACTTAAGCATTAATTTAACCACTTCAAACTTAATAAGAAAATATTTATAACATATTTTAGAAATTTCATAATTTTGTGTTGGGCGGTAATAAACATAAGTTGTCAAAGAGTTATAAAATCGATGATTTTTTTAAATACATTGTATCTATACTGTAATTAAATAATTAATCGTTTGAATTTACTCTTTCCACACGTTTTTTTTATTATGAGGTTTTTTTAGAAAAATGTTACTCTTCTTTCATGGGTAGTCTGTGGTAAACTATACATTTTGGCAGCTTTTTTATATTGTTAATCATTTATCAAGGATTGGTTGTTGCATGGCACTTTCACTCATTTCCTATAGATTTGATGTTCGCTTATAATACATACATACATACATATATATATATATATATATATATATATATATATATATATATATATATATATATATATATATATATATATATATATATATATATATATATATATATATATATATATATATATATAAATTATTTCATTTTCATAAAAAACGTCATACGTAATTAGTCTACTATTTTTATAAAAACATTTGGGATAAAATGGGGAATACTCCATTATGCCTCATATTCCATACTCCATTATGCTCCATTGGTCGCATATCGCTAAAAACAGTGCTACATCTAAAAAAAGTTCATACATATCAAAATTTTAAAAATTTTAAAAATATAGCTAGTTCTATATTAAATGCAATATATGGTTAAATTACATCGAAGTTCACTTTAAGTCATATTTACTTAGTCAAGACAAATTTTACTAAACTTTTAAACGATTATTCAAAACCAATCAATATTTAGTTGTTTCACACTCATAACAAGGATTTTTTTGCAAAAAACTACTTTGCAACAGTTTCCCCTATATAACTATTTTGATACACAAGACGAACTTTATTTAAAACAATTTTATTATTAAAAGACATTATTAAGACATGTTTTGTCTACTACTAGCCATCTTCACTTAAATTTAAATATTTAAATTTTTGCTAAGTATCTATATAGGTGGTTAAAAAAAAAACATACAAAATTTTTAATTATCTGTATACAAACTATTAATAATTTAAAATATTAAAAAAAAAAAAGTAATAGTAAAGAAAAATAGGATGTAATGAAATAATAGGCTAATAATATACACAACATATATAAAAAGTAATAGGTTGATAAAATACACAGCATATATAAAAAGTAATAGGTTAATAAGATACACAGCATATGTAAAAAGTAATAGGTTAATAAGATACACAGCATAAGTAAAAAGGAGTTAACCTGTTTTTTCCAGGGCCGACGACACGGTTTTCGAAGTAGTGGGAAGGTGGGGAGGAAGCAGGGAGCACAATTGTCAATTTTTAAAAAAAGGTTCTCTATATCTTAAAACTTCTATATATATAAAAGAACCTTTAGAAAACTGGGGGACATGTGCCCACTTCCCTCCCCCCTCCCCTCCTCCTTTGACTTTAGCCTTGCGTTCATATTAGGTTTTAACTATTCTATGAAAATACTTTCTTTAAGCATTAACTTAAACTTATTAGATGCCTAATCTAAAACAGAAAGAACATTTGCTATTTAATTTAGCTAAACAATTTTATTAGCATAGAGATGTTTATAGAGTACCTAAGCAGTTGGTTTAAACGTTACTTCTGTCCTAGTCTCGGTGCGGTTTGCATATTCATTTCTCATTTTTGGTAATGACATGGTTAAACCAGTTAAACGTGATACTATGATAAAAAGTTTATGCATGTTTCTGATCTAACCTAGTTGAATAGCATTCACTTTGTGTGGTATTTAAATATCAAGCTTTGGGATCTTTTTAGGTTTTAAATGCTCTAAATCCATTTTTATTGGTCTGCGCATTCTGTATTTATTTTCCAAAAAATACCGAACCCAACGCTTTGTTATTTAAATTTAAAGACTTAAAGGGAATGTAAATGGGGCTTAGTGATAAGATAGTTTACGCCTTCTTCTTGCGTCGGCTCTACTATATATAAGTACGACATATTGTAAATAATAGTGTAAGGTAAAAATAACTTTGTTTTTTGGTTGGAAGTCCTCATCTGTTTACTTGGCACCAAAATTTCTTTCATATTTTTCCCAAAAATGACTATAGAATAGAATGAATTAAAAAAGAACTTTAGATATAACTATAAAACAATTTGTATCAAGACCCTGCGGACTCGAAAAAAACATTTAGGATTTTTGATGCCACATAAAAGGGGGGAAACATTTATTCGGTACCTCAGGATCTACAACAAGGTTATCATTCCGAGAAAAAAATATAAAAATTAAAATTTTAGAAATATATTTTGAAAAATAAATTTGTACTCAGTTTTAGACTGTATCATTTTGCATTTAAAAGAAAGATTGACAAAGCGTAAAATAATTCTCATTTACATTTACAATTTACAAAAACGTTTTTGTGAGCGAAAAAAGTGCTTATAAAAATTTTTAGGAAAGATGGATATTCTCAGCAACAACTTTTAGACATTGTTAAACATTACAAACATCCCAACTAAAAAACAAATAAAAAAATTATTTTGCTATCAAAAATTTTTCTACTATTTTTTGACTAAAAACAGTTCTTACAACAAAACTGTTATGTAGTCAAAAAAAAATCTAAGGGTTAGGTTCAAAAAAATGGTTAAGTTCAATGTATTTGGTAAAGTAAAAACGATTTAAAGGAGCAAAATTTTAAGTAAAAAAAATTTTTTTATACTCTTTTATTCAAAACCGGATTGATTGATACTGTTAAATACCTAGCGGGCATTTGTTTTTAAAAGTTACGTTTTAAACATTCGCACCTAAAGAACGTTTAAAAGACGTTTAAAATTATCGCATTTGAAATCTGAATATATTAGGAATTCCATATTGTGTTTAGAAAGTTAACAAGTTTGTCGTCTTTAACCTTTGTTTCATTTGATTCGGAAATTGTTATACTTATTATTTTTTTATTGTAATATTTATTAGTTTTTTTTCTTCTTTTTTATTATTTATATATATTTTTCTTCTTCTCTGAAACATTTTTTTTTCAAGATCGTTTTTTAAATTTAGCTTGACAATTTAAGAAAAAAAACTTTATCTCTGCGTGAACACTGTGTCTATAATGATGTGTTGAATACTATAGTATAATTATGAACTGGAAATAAAATGTTTGAATTAAACCCTGCTATTTTACACAGAGCTGAGTTCTTTCGATACTATTAAATACTATTTTCAAGTGAAATTATTAAGAAATAATTTAATTAAAAATGCAATGAATAGAATTTTATTTAAGAAAAAATAAAAATTTAGTAACCTCCATTAGCCATTATTTATCTTTATAGTGTTCATCTCTATATATACCCAGAATTCAAGTTTAATATGGATAACTAGTTCCTCGAAATTTAAAAATCCTCCAGCGCAAAATAAGATTTTTAATATCAGGCATTTTGGTTCTTGTTTTTAGTAAAACTTATTATGGAAAACACAGTCAGTGTTTGACTTAAACACCATTACTATGATGGAGATGATATAATATGCTGACCATGACTATGATGGAGATGACCTGATTATGATGGAAACGATTTTTGTATGTTTTATATCAAATATTTGATAACAAAATTGCGTAAATGACGGCATTTTTCGTCATTTTTTTATACTTACCAGTTTGAATTTTAAATTCAAAACCTCTTTTTTAAACTTAATTTAATAACCAGCTAAAAATTGGAACAAACCAAATTTTAACTTGAGAGTCGCATAAGAACATTGTGGATGTACATGCAAAAAAACCTTTAAAATAATGTGAAAACGTAAAAAATCTTCAATTTTCGTTTCTATTTTATTAGTTTTTTTAATCATTCTCGTTAAAAAAATAAAAACATCTAGGTTTTGTTTTTACCTAAGTTAAAGTTCAGTTAACAAAAATTGAAAACATCGCTGGTGTCTATAGATTTTATTAAAAATACGAGGTTTTTTATTTTTATTTTTTTATAAAGAAAGTAAGGAGGGGGAAAAAAAAATTAAAACATTTAAGATTTTAAATATATTTACATACTTCACGTGAAGTAAATTTATTATTTTATATATATACTGTAACAGTGAATACAAAATATACTAGGGAATGGGAATAGAATTTATAATCTGTTAAGATGCAGCCTCCAATGTTTATTCGACTTGTCCAAAGTGTGCATTCTCCATTCCGATTCCAATTTTGCGTAGCGTTCTTTATTTAAAAAAAGCGGTTTTCCACGTCTGTAAAAAATATATTTATATTAAGTAATAACTTGCATATAAACACAATTATTTATGTGCGTATAATAAAAATATTTATTTGCGTGTTAATAAAGTATAAATTTTCATAAGCACAGACACACAAAAATTTTTTTTTTAATAGTATAAATAGAATAAAATCATATTATCAAAAAAAAACTTGCTTTAATTCTCTATCTTCCTCTCCAAAACTGTCTAAATATACTGATCCCCAGGGACAAATCCTTTCATCTCTAATAATTAGAGTAAGAGAAGAAGATATCACCAAAAATAAACCCGTCCCATAACCACAGTCTGAAGAATGCTAAAACCGATAAACAAATTTAAAAAATTAATTCATCTCAATAAATATTTCAAGTAGTAGAAATAAAAGATCGAAACGTAATATTTAAATCTAAATGAAAAACTATGTTACTTGGACACACTCGTAAACAGTTTCTTTGTAAATGCAGCACGAACTGCGAAAACATAAAAGCTTTCCACAAACTAGACACAAAGTGGGATCTTCTGGTATTTTTTTGCACCTTGCACACTTTTGTTTTCTATATTCTTGAAATAAGCTATAAAATATTAAAACAATTATTATTAATAACATTTGTTGGTCTTTAAATTTTAATACATATAAATAAATAATTTGGACAAACTTGTAAGTTATGTTAAAAACTTAAAGAAATACCTGTCAAACAAAAGCGGCAATTTAATTAACGAAGGCATTTTCCACTCATTTGCTATAGGCAATATGTTCTAAAGTAAAATAATTATGCAAAAATATAAAGAGTGAAATCGCAAACGTTACAAACAAAATCTGAAATTCCGCATTAATTTTAAAACTCAAAATCTAGGACATTTTATTATGGTTATTTTACATTATATATTACTTATCAAACAACTACTTTGAAACTAATTGCAATTTTAGCAACTTAATTCAGAAGATGCAACATTGAAAAATTTACCAATGAATTTTATTATTAATCTAATATAGTATAATTTAATATAATTTTTAAAGTTGTCATGTCAAATAATTTGCTGAAAAGAAATAACAAAAATTTTTTTAAAAAATAAAGTTTTTTTAAGAAAAAAGTAAACTAACAAGACATAACATATATATATATATATATATATATATATATATATATATATATATATATATATATATATATATATATATATATATATATATATATATATATATATATATATATATATATATATATATATATATATATATATATATATATATTTATATTTAGACTGGTTCTTAAAACAACTTTTTATATGAATGACTGCTGGCACCTTCTGAATGTGTTGTATGTAATAAAAAAATTCTGGATTTAAAAAATTTTTGAATAAAAATTATTTTAAGGGGTTACTATCGACCTTCAAACATTAAATAGGTCCCTAGTATTATAAAAAAAGTTTTTTAAAAGTATGTCATGTTGGGTTTCAAACGAAGCGAAGTTATATAAAAATTTCAAAAATATTAATCATTTTATAATTAATTTTTTATTTTAGATTTTAGTGAACAGAAAATTACATTTTTTAACTAAAAACGATTAATAGAGAAATTAACAAGATTTTTTTATTATAATTTTTTTTTTCAATGTTTTTTTATAAAATGATTAATATTTTAGAAATTTTTATATAATTTCGCTTCGTTTGAGACCCAACATGACATACTTTTAAACTTTTTTTTTATATAATATTAGGGACCTATTTAATGTTTGAAGGTCGGTAGCAACCCCTTAAAATAATTTTTATTCAAAAATTTTTTAAATCCAGAATTTTTTTATTATATACAATATATTCAGAGGGTGCCAGCAGTCATTTATAAAAAAAGTTGTTTTAAGAACCAGTCTAATATATATATATATATATATATATATATATATATATATATATATATATATATATATATATATATATATATATATATATATATATATATATATATATATATATATATATATATATATATATATATATATATATATATATATATATAACATAACAAATAAACTAACAAGTAACTTCCGAAAAAATAAAAATTTTTATAATAAAAGTTTATGACTATTATGAAAGCAAATTTAATCAATTAGCAAAAAGAAAAAAATTAAAAAAATTAACTTTAATTGCTAAAAACTTGTATTGTAACTAAGGATGTGTATTATATAATTTAAGGATGCATTGTAACTATGTATTTTTTAAATGTGAAATAAATATCTAAACACAATTTTAAATATTAAACATTTCTCTAAGTAATTAAATTTTTTGATTTTTTAATATCAAATTTTAAATCTTCAGTATTTATGACTGCAAGTCAATTTTGCATTGATTCAACTGATTTCTTTGTCATATCTGGAATAATTTGACTCCGAGCTTCTTGAATCTTGATTTAACTACTTTCTTTATTGTATCTAAATCAGGGTTGACAAAAACCCGACCCAACTAGGTTTTTGGGTTTTTGGATTTTTGCTAAAGTTTGGTATAAATCTTTAAGAATATGGTTTGATTAATTTATAATTATTTAAAAGTTATTTTTTACAGCTAAATTGTTTTATATAAAAGTTTAATTAATAATCAGATTGCTTTTTTTTCTAATATAAAACTATTTTTAAAACTTTTTTTAAAAAGAGTTTTTAGTTAAATTTAAAATAAAGTAGATTATAGGTCTTTAACATGCCAAAGTATCATTCAGGGAGAAGAAATAATGCTAGTGAGTTGAATGAAGTGACCATATGAAGTAACCAAATAGAGTAATATGTAATTATTGCAAAGTGAGCATAATTAAAAAAATAGAGAGAGTTAAGATCCATTTGAATATATGGATCTTAATTCTCTCAATTTTCGCCATCTACATCTGCAGAATCAAATAAGTCTAACCAGTCAAATAATAATGAGCAAGATTGTTAAAGTTTTATTAGTGGTTCTTCTTACTTGTCAATTGTTCAGTCAACTGTAGTAGAAAAACTTGAACTTACCAAGCTGCTTAAAAAACGTAGACCTGAATACCAGTACCAAAATAGAAAACAGATATCTTCAGAACTCTTAGTAAAGATAAATGAAGAAGTAATCAATTTAATGAAAAATTATATTGCTGATGATTGTGCTGTTACCCTAATCTCACTTCAACAATTGACACTAGAAGCCAATCAAAAAAGATGTAAGTTTATTACGTTTAGCTGTTTTATTTAATATATATATATATATATATATATATATATATATATATATATATATATATATATATATATATATATATATATATATATATATATATATATATATATATATATATATATATATATATATATATATATATATATATATATATATATATATATATATATATGTATGAATATATTATATTTTATATATTTTTATTTAGGTTTTTGCAGTATGCACTGACAACAAAAATAAAATGTCTAAAAAGAGAAAGCTTTTGCAGACTGAAGACACTAGTTGATAACATATGGTTGCTCTGCTAATTTCTTAAACTTTGTTGAAAAGGATGTCTCTCTAAAGGAAGTCTATAGTAAAGCATATTATAGCAATTCAAAAATACTTTCGTAATCATCACCAACCACAAGTATGTACTAAATTCTAGATCGTAACTTATTGATCATATTCTGTAATACAATACTATGAAATAAAACAGCTGTGTTAATAATATAGGCCTTAATAATATTTATGGCAAAAGAGATCCAAAAGAGTATTATGGGAATGGTTATTGGAAAAAGGTGGACTGATGCTATAGCTACACAATGATACTTGTTTAAACTAGATTGTTTACAGACATATATTTCTAATCATTCTCTGTACAATGACATTAGAGGTGATCAGTTGATCCTTTAATAGGAAGCTGAATTGACAATCTGCCAATACAGAGAGAAGCAATAAATTTACATGCAGAACTGAAAATTGTTGGTGTTGCTTTAGATAAGGTTAATAAAACTAGTTAGTAACCGGATGTATTAAATTTAATTATAACAAGTATATTAAAACCACTAATTTCTGGCACCATGTCATCTTTAACTTTAATTACATAATTAACTAAACTATTGTGTTTGCTATAGTTGCAGGCAGACGATACAACTTTGTCTGAAGCAGTTAATATTTAGCAAAGCCTCATACATAATGAAAAAGTGGCTTTGCGCAAAGATGATATTTTAAAGAGGTTTAAGTAAGCAATTGTTCCATGTCATTTTCTGGTCAATTTAAGAGATACAAAATATGAAGGTAACTAAACAATTGTTTTATCTGATCTTAAGTTAACTATTCATTTTTAGTAAATAACTCTAGTTATTTACTAAAAACATTGGATAAAAGTCAAGATGAAGAAGCTGAGAAATGGTTGAATAAAGTCTATCCTGAATTTATGCCAGGCTACTATACATTTAAACTAAAAGATTCTAATTGTTTTCCAACATATTTATTCAACAATAGTGTAAAAAAACAACATCAACAACAAATTGGTGTAGAATTGTAGAAATACAGGAATCTAAGTCTTTCAAAATGCCTGCAAATTTTGCAAGATTTCTACGGCTGTTGCATACTTGTCCAGCTAGTACTGGATCCATTGAAAGATTTTTCTCATTTTTTGGGAATTGGAGCAAAATTAGGAATCGTTTAGGAAGAGAAAAAGCTTGTACCAATTTACAGACATTAAAGATCATTAAAGAGCTGATGACTAAGTTGTTAGATGACTTTGTTTAAAATTTTTAAATTTGAATATTATTGCTCCAAATAAAATGAAGTTCTCGTTTATGACTTACAAAACTTCTTATTTTGTTGTTATTAGAACAATTGTTAAGCAGCATCAAATCTTGTGTGTTAATGAAAATTGATTTATGAATAAAAAAAAAAAAAAAATTTAAGAGCGAAAACCCATTTGTTGGGTTTTTAATGGGTTTTTGGGTTTGGGTTTTTGGTTACAAACTCTGATTTAAACTAACTTGAATCCAAATTTTTTTGAATCTTTATATCAACCTAAATGTTTTACCTTGCTTGACCAAGCCATTAGGCAAATTGTGCTAAGCTTGTGACCATTCATTTATTTTAACTCCCTTTTTATTGCATTACTTGCACTACTTATGGTTAAATAAAAAAAATCTGGTTAAGTAGTCACTTTTCTCCACATAATGAAGCTAATCAACCAATTAATAATGGAACTAATCAACCAATGAATAATGGAGCTAATAACCAATTAATACAACTGTAATATTGTTAAATTCTATAACTAAATATTTTTTACCCTGATGATGTAAAATTTTTACTCTAAAAATATAAAATTCTCACCTTAAAGTTAATTTTTTTTTTCATTAAATATTCTATCAATTCTTCACACCAAGATGATATAATGCTTATTGCTGACTCATCTGGACTCCATTTTAAAATTACAGTACTCAATTCCTCTTCTGCATAATTAACAGAACAGCCACCAAGCTTTAGTAAAGATGCATATGAAACAAACGAATTAACCTATAACACAAAAAAATTTATTTTTATAGTTTTTAATAGTAAAGATGCATATTTTTATAGTTTTTATGCATATAGTTTTTAGCAGATCAGAAACACTTTTTTTTATCTTTTAATAGTTATATATATCTAAGTCAGTGGCGAATTAAGACTTCTTGGGCCCCGGGGCTATTTTTATTTTTATGGGCCAGAACCTAAAAATAACACAAAAAAAGGTCCTCTAAAATTTTTGGGGGCCCCTAAATTTGCGGGGTCCGGCACCCTCCCTATCCCCCCCTTGATCCGGCACTGATCTAAGTATTTTAGTATATTTAGTAGAACAATTAATTATGAGCAAATGATGCGCTGAGATGACTGTTTTAAATGCAAATAATTTCTGTGAGCCAAATTCATTCCCAAATCAACAATGTTGTCAATGTCTTCAGATGAAGTTTTTATACTGCACTGTTAACAGATGGTTTTAGTGTTGTGTATGATTTATTAGGAAATTAGTAGAAAAAACTTTAAAAAAAAGTGGTTGTTTAGTTTTTTTAAATAATGATAGTTCTGCCATATTTTTAATGTCAGAAGTTAACTCACTAAAAAGTTTTGTTCTTGCAAAGTAAAATGAGTTTTTTGTCATTTTGAGTTTTATTTTCTGAAGTCTCAACAATATTCCTTGTCTGGTACATTTTTTATGTTTAATAGTTTCGAAGTGATTAGTAAAATTTTCATAAAGTTCATTATTTAAACACTTTTTTTTACAAATAAGCATGAGTTCCTTTTGATGATTTTCTCAATTTCCTAAAGATTGTGATGGCTACCAATTATATCTTTTCCTCTTCTGTCAAATGAACTTAGTTTAGTTTTGTGTATTGCTGTAAAATTAAGATTGATGTTGGAATTGTATGTTAATATTGGAACAATCATTTGTTGATAATTCTGGAGAGCTGCCTTTGCAGGAAGGAAGATCTTTACTAATTTTGAATGACCCCATGCTTTCCTATAACTATCTTTAAAATGATTTTTTTTAAAAAAAGCGTTGGATCCAATTTACATCCTAGGTATTTATATAAATTCACAAAGTTAATTATTTTTTGTTCATATTTAAACAAAGTACATTGTAACGCTTTTTTGTGAATCCAAATGCATTGCTTCCATTTTTTCTCACATTCAGATTAATTATTAGTTCATTGTTATAAAAGCACTTTGCTATACTGTTTAATTCCGATATTAGACACTCTTGAAAAGTATTGAGATGCTTATGACTTTATTATATGTCAGCGCCATCTGCATATGATATCATTTTTTTCTAACCTAAGAAATTTAGGCAAATCGTTTATAAATAAACCAAACAACAATGGTCCTAGGATAGGTCCTTTTGGAACTCCATTTGATAAATAAAACTCTTTAGAATATTTATTATCAACATTACAGGATTTAATGATAAAGACTGAAACTTTTTTCTCAGTGTATAAGCAATAAACACTGAATCGTTAACAAACCACTAGCCAGAGAGAAATGTCACAATATGGTCACTTACTTATGCTTGTTGTTAACTACTTATGCTTGCTATTAATTGTAAGCAAAAAACTTTCTTTTGATTTTTTTATTGAGTTTAAAGTTAAGTTCCAAGGAACAAATTACATTAAGTCTTACAAAACTTGGAGCTTTTTTATACCATTAACCAACAGTTTTTATTTGTTATTAAGATTGCCAAAAAAAAATGTTTGACTAGAGATAACCTTATGTTTGACGAGAGATAACATTGTGTTTGACTATAGGTAACAATTCATTCAATAAATTTTGGTTTATCTAAAGTATTTTGTTAACAAGTAACACATGGAATGCATTACTTTTAAACAGCATTTTTTGTAAATATTAAAATTTACTAGCATGAATATGCATCTAAATTAAAAAAATTTCATTTCAAATTAAAAAATTAATAACTAAATGTTAACACCAGCAAATTAATATTGTCAGGAAAAAGTGCAGTCTCTTTACAATTTACATCTTAAATGAGAAACATTTTAATGGACTATTAGAGAGTACAAAAGTTGGTTTTGTTAGCTAATAGAGGAGAAGTTAAAAAACTATATTAGCATATTTGGTGTCGAAAATGGTTTTAACACCTGTGCTGCAATCAACCTTTGTTCCACTTGATGATTGAAAAGTTGAAATCACCAATAGTGAAAAAGTCTTGGGATTTTTTCTTTTAATAAAATATTTGAAATACAAAATGGATTTAAATACTTCTTTAAAAGCTAATACACTGCATCATAGTCTACTAATGCATCACAGTCTACTAATGCATGAGATTCCACTTGTGCGTGTTGTGTAAAGAAAAAAAAGAAAAGATACACAAGATAAACACTTCAAATAATTTAGATATCTAAAAAAATTTGGTGTTTTTTTAAAAAAAATTTGTGATGATTGTAAAAGTCTTAAAAAGACTTTTTTTAAGTAGTATAAAGCCTATATATCAGGGATGCGGAGTCCCAAAAAGGACTCCGGATAAGAAAGGCACAAAAAGATTACTTCTTTTAAGTTTTTAATATACAGGAGCTCTAAAAATATTAATAAGTTTATGGACTAATAATAAGAAAAAAATTAAGACTTTTAGGTAAGAGGCACAATCATTTTTTGAGCCCGCAGTCCTTAGGCATAATGGTGGCAAGGACTCCGGGCTTAAAAACAATAAGTTTTAAGTCATTAAATCTCATTAATTTTTTACTTATAGCAGATCATAAGTCAACAAACATGTTTAGAGCTTCTGGACACTACTGACTTGGAAAAAGTAGAGATATAAAGCCGGAGTTCTTTTGGGACTCTGCATCTTTGCTATATATAATTATTAAATATTACTTTATATATAGCAAGATTATCAAATATTATTTTATATATAAAAATATCATTAAATATTATTTTATATATAAAAATATTATTTTATATATAAAAATATTATTTTATATATAAAAATATTATTAATATATATATATATATATATATATATATATATATATATATATATATACATATATATATATATATATATATATATATATATATATATATATATATATAACGGGTGATGTGTAATTAGTGACACTAAAGTTAACTTAGTTTTGCTCGTAATATAATCTTTTTTATTAAACCATATAAATTTATTTTGGTAAATTGAATATTCTAGTTTTATTAAAAAAAAAAAATTATCCAAAAAAAATGTTAAACGGCCAAGAAAGCCTTCAAAAAAGCGTCAAAAATTTTTTTGTAAAAAACCTAAAAGCGACCAAAGTCGAAGCCGCTAACCATTTTATTTAAGAAGGAATCGCTCTCAAAACAGCATATAGATATATCAATCGACAGCTTGATGGGCAATGTTTAAAAATAAAAAAAATTCTGGTCGCCCGTCATTGTGGACTCAAGAAAAAAAAGCGAAACTTAAAAGGTTGACCAACAATCGAAAAGGTGTAAGTCAAAGAAAGCTTGCACGTAAATTCAACGTAAATCAAGCAACAATTTGTAAACAATTAGCCAAAATGAACATAAAATATCAGAAACGCGAAAAAACACCAAAATACAATGATGAACAACGTCTAAGGGCACAAAAAAGAAGTCGAAAACTTGTCAATCACCTCTACAAAGAACAAAGCGTTTTAATTTTGGACGACGAAAAATACTTTTGTTTTGCTGGCGATGAAATGCCTGGAAACGCCAGTTATTACACGAACAACAAAGAAAAATGTCCAGAAAATGTTCGTTTTGTGGGAAAAGAGATCGCATTATCTGAGCGTGGAATGTCGAAACCACTCTTCCGGTTGTCAACCTCGGCTGCAATAAAACCCGAAATTTATATCAAAGAATGCTTAGAGGAACGATTGTTGCCATTCATAGATAAGTATCACGATGATTTAAATTACATATTTTGGCAGGATTTAGCTAGTGCTCATAGAGCTAAAGAGGCAATATTGTGGATGAATGAAATGATTAACTTCGTGCCGGTCGATATGAACCCTCCTAATGTCCCCAAAGCCAGGCCAATCAAAGACTTTTGGGGAGTATTGGCTCAGAATGTGTATGAGGGTGGATGGGAGGCCAAAAGTGAACAACAACTGATTCGGCGTATCGAAGCCTGTCTGAAAAAAATTGATTTGACATTTTTACAATCTCTTATGAAGGGTATCAAAACTAAATTGAGATTAATAGCCGATCAAGGCGTTCAATCGATTTACAAAAAATAATTTTTAAAAAATAAATATTGTGTTATTATTTTTTTAAAATGAAAATTTTTTTTTCTTTTATTTCTTAAAAAATATAAGACTTTGATTTTTGTGTCACTAATTATGCATCACCCATTATATATATATATATATATATATATATATATATATATATATATATATATATATATATATATATATATATATATATATATATATATATATATATATATATATATATATATATATATATATATATATATATATATATATAATATATTTTTCAAATACTGCACTGTAAATTTCATTAATACAAATGAGAAAATGAAATCTTGTGGTACCCGAGATGTAACTGAAAATAAAGAGGTGCCCATCAAGTTAGATTCAAGATAAGAAATAAAAAATTTGTCAATTAAAGGCTCAATGACTGCTAATATTACGAAAATGACCAATGACATTACTGCTAATTAAAAAAAAAATTGAAAAGTAGTTGAAAGAGTCAAAAATGTTCATTTGTTTGAGCATCATCATAACAACTCTTGGTATTTAAATTTCTTTATTTATCACAAGAACATTTTAAAAATTATATAGTTTAACTTTAATGTTAACTTGAACTTTAAAAAAATACCAATAAATTAAAAAAAAGAATTAAAATACCAAGGAATACCAAAAGAATACTAATTAAAATAGTTGTTTATACGTAATATAACATAAACATAACGCATATTTAATATAAACATACACATATATAACATGAATTAATTAACATCATGTAATGACAATTCTACTATATAATATCGTTGTATAGTAGAACTGCCAGATTGAATAAACAATGTGAGCATGCAACTATTCTTATAACTGAGATGAACTTTTGAATCAAGTTCACTTATATTAATATGGCGCGCATTACTTGTTGGCTTGTTCAAAAATTTTGGTCATATAGTGACCAAAATTTTTAAACAAAATTTCCCTCAAGGGAGTCCTTTTTTTTGACCCCATGGAAAGATTCCTTTAACTTTTCTTTGTAACTTCCAACAATAAAAACATTCCAATCAATTTTTTTAACTAAGAGTTTAATGCAGCTTATAAATGCAAACTTCTTGTTACCTGTTTGATGTGTGACTGCATTATGAATGCATTAGCAGAACTGAATTGTACTTCGTTATCCTACTGCTATCAGTTCACATTTTTAAATTCCTTTCCAGACTCAATCCTAAAAAACATTCTTTTTTGTGATTTGGAGGTTTTGTGATCTTCTGGAGGTTTATACAAATGTTTTGCTACATTTTTAGCAGTTTCCTTGATAATCAAATTCATTAATATAGTTGTGAATTTTTTACATATGGGTTTGCATTGAGTATATGACAAAGAATTAAAATCATTATTGTGGAAAATATATTGTAAAAATTCTGGTAAAACAACATTGATTCTTATTTATAATTACTATGGTAAAACAACATCAACTCTTATTTATAATTACTGTGGCCAAAACACAATCTGGTAAAACAAAATCAATTCTTATAATAACTATGGTAAAACAACATCAATTTTTATTCATAATTATTATAATAAAACAACATCAATTCTTATTTATAATTACTATGGTAAAACAACATCAACTCTTATTTATAATTATTGTGGCCAAAATTTTTGTTTGGATTCAAAAATAAAATTTTTAACATCAAGAACTTTTAAATTTTTTAATTTTCAAAGTAGTTTATTTCAACAAATAAGTGGAATCTTTTAGGTGGTCCTAAAAGTAGCTTGTCATATGCAAAAATGATCCATTCATTTATTTCTTTTGGGTTATCATAATTGTGAATATGGCACATCTTGTATTCACAGATGGTTTTATTGAATGCAAATCATTTAGCCCAGTTCTACAATACTGTCCACTACTCCCATTAAACAGCTCTACAATACTGTCCATTATTCCCATTAAACAGTTCTACAATACTGTCCACTATTCTCATTAAACAGCTATAAAATACTGTCCACTATTCCCATTAAACAGCCCTACAATCCTGTCCACTATTCCCATTAAACATCTCTAAAATACTGTCCACTTTCTCTTTAAATTATTTATTCCCATTAAACTGACCTACAATTCTGTCTCCTATTTCCATTAAACAGCTCTACAATACTGTCCACTTTTATTATTGAACTTTGCTGTGATTGTTATTTAATTTAGTTTATTATTTTGTTTTATTTTGGTTTTATTTATTACTTGGTTTTTTTTTATTTTTTGTTAAATTAATTGCGCCACATTTCATCAATATTATTATTTTTTGTTTGTGTTCTTTAGTTAAATCAAATTCAAATTGTTTTGTTTTTTACAATTAACTAATCAACCATTCAGTGTACTACATCAATTTCCTATTAGATTACCATTTCACCTAGTAATTGCACAAATCTTTCTATGTTTGTATCCTCCAAAAAATTAAATTTAAAACTTTTTGAAACTAGGTTATATGTTGATACAGCATAAACTTCTGTGATAGAGAATCTAGAACTAATGTTGTCCAAACATGTTAAGATAATCGCTTTTCACTTTGAGTCGCTTACATTGCAATCATATGCTTATAAAATTAGTGAATGAACCACTGATGTTGATTCCATCGAACTCTGGTGGCATAAAACACCTTCGTTACTGTGTTAACTGTTTAGTATTTGAATTTTTTTATTACACAAACATTTTAATATATCATTAGATAAACCGAAATCTACATTTTATTTATTTTTTGGACACTTGACACTTAAATATTCAATTGTTTAGTTACAAAATATTGTATAAAACTAAAAAAACTAATTGGTTTTAAATACAACCTCTAAAAATGAGTTTGTCAGTGCATTCACAAAATGTTTATATTTTGTAAATGGTCAGACAAAATGCCTTACATTCAAAAAAGAACTCTTTGAGAAATAAGCCATAAGTTTCTTTGAATGAAGCAGTTTAGATAATTTCTAGTGTTATATATTTCAAGAGAAATTAGTGCATTTTATGTTAAAATTATTAAGTAATAATAAAAATAAATACCACATCTATTTCATCCTGCAACATCCAGATGGACTGAAAAAAATAAGCTTTTTTCAGAAATGGTAAACAAAGCTGTTCAATATGATATTCAACTGAATGTGGAGACATAACAGAAAGTGTAATCTAAAAATAAACAAAAATGATTAACTCTATAATTAATTATCAATAATAAGCTCTGTTTTATATAATATGGAATTTTTTTCTATTTAAATTGATTTAAAAAAATATTTATATTTTTGATTAAGCAGTTTAATCATATTTTGATTAAGCATCAATACATCATTTTTGTAGTTTCTAATTTCCCTAAAAATAAGAAACAATATGCTCAATTGCAGCCCAGACTCTTTTTTACCAGTTATTTTGTGTAGTAGTTTAGAAAATATTGATCTCTAAGTTTTTCACTACTATCACCTAGTGCCAAAAAATTATTTGATCAACCCCAATTTTATATGATTTTATATATTGCACATTATCAGACACAATGCCACTTTTAATGATTAATTCTTTTGTTCTTTTAATTATGTGATAGAGATGCATTTGGTCTAAAGACAGGTTATCTAAGACATCTTCATTAAAAATTTGCAAACTGTCCTAGCATTCAATTGGTTGGAACTGAACAATTGGTTTTGATTTGCAGGTCTTCAGCATATTTTCAACGGGGCCACTAAAACTGGTAACACCAGATGTAATACCATCCAAATGTGTAAACAAGTAACGAAAGGTCATTTGTGTGTAACATACAAATAAACCAGTTCACAAGAAATCTAAGAGCTAGTTTAACTTGGCAGATTATTCTGATTTCTACATCACAATTAGATTACAGATTACTTCAACTTCTACATCACTATGCCATTAAATTCACATTTTTTTGGTTTTATTGTCTATGATAACATTTGCTTAAGTTATATCTTTTCTGACATCAAAATAAATGTCTGTTATGCTTTCACTTGTTTTATGCAAAATTTTCCTTAATTTAACCCATTAACAGTGCATGCCATATTATTACGCAAACTTATGGTTTTCAAATGTCCATGCTGTAATATTATGCGCACTAAAAGTGGTTCCCAAATGTACATGCCGTAATATTACGGTTTTATGCATCTCCTTATAATTCCTTCTTGTTCATCAGTAATTATACGTCTACTTGTGACAATATTTATTACTACATAATTACGGAGCTTTTGTTTCAATAATTCACTTTTAAATGTGTTCACTTTGATTTTAAATATGACAAATAAGGAAGTTCTTCCAGTACAAAAATAATTATCAAAAAGAAAATATTTAATCACAAAAAAATAGAAAATTATAAATTTGATGAATCAATAATGAAAAGATATATTTGATGAATGATTATTGAAAATAATAATAAAAGATTAATGCTCAAAGAAAATGTGTGGCATGTTACAACGTGTGGTATGTTACAACGTGTGGTATGTTACAACGTGTGGTATGTTACAACGTGTGGCATGTTACAACGTGTGGTATGTTACAACGTGTGGTATGTTACAACATGTGGTATGTTACAACGTGTGGCATGTTACAACGTGTGGCATGTAACAACGTGTGGTATGTTACAACGTGTGGTATGTTACAACGTGTGGTATGTTACAACGTGTGGCATGTTACAACGTGTGGTATGTTACAACGTGTGGTATGTTACAACGTGTGGCATGTTACAACGTGTGGCATGTAACAACGTGTGGTATGTTACAACGTGTGGCATGTTACAACGTGTGGCATGTTACAACGTGTGGTATGTTACAACGTGTGGTATGTTGCAAACACAAAATTCAAAAAGATTCAAGATTCATGTGTAGAATGTGATGTAGAACTTTGTGCAGCTCCATGCTTTTCCATTTATCATACAAAAAGTGAATATTAGAGAATAGATTTTTAAAACTTTATGTTTATATAGTATGATTTATATATTCTTAAACTTGAATAATAACATTTTGTAGTATTTAATAATGTTAAAAATAGTAAAAAAAAATTTTTATTCTATTAGTAAAAAAACACGATTTTAAAAACACGGGACATTTAGAGACCACTTCAAAAAAAAAGCTGGACTAATAGCAACCGTATTTTAAAAAAATATTGGACTGTTCTAGGGCTTTTCATGCTGAACTTTGCTCTTATCAACCACCAAACCTAGATTATCCTTAGTAATCATGCTAACATTAATGAAGACTACAGTTGCTAGGGATGCTGTAGCTTGATCTGATACAACATATCTATCTGTTTATTTGGCTAGATTTGGTAGGAGCGTTCTCATTTGCCCTGCTTACAAATCAGTAATGGGCAAGAAATAAATGTCACTGAAATACACTTCACTATCATTATCCTTTTCACTTGAGTCTGTCTTAGTATCATCCGCCCCTTGAAAACTCAACTTCTCAGCTTTATCTAATCTGTATATAATATATATAGACTTGATGCTGAGCACAATTGGGTGCGCTCGGCATCAAGTCTTCAAAAGCGATATTCAGAATTGAAAATTAGTTGCCATAGGGCCATCCTTAAATTACGTAGGCATCTATGGGGAGAGGGTCACTAAAAAAGTTTTCTTTTTGAGTACTAGGTTGGTTGAAAAGTTCGCGGAGCGGCACCTATGTTGCAGTAGTAGAAACAAATTTATAACTGTATTAAACGTATTCATTCTTCGTATGAACGCATAAAAAATTTCAAGTCGATATGTCATTTCAGTCTTTGTTTACAAGCTATTGAAATTAGACGTGTCATAGTATTTTTTAAAATGGAAAATATTGAACATCGTGCTGTAATAAAATTCTTTGTGAAAAAAGGTTTAAAGCCCATGGAAATTCATAATGAAATGGTAAATGTGTTGGGTGATGATGCTCCTTCAAAAACAACAGTATGCAAATGGGCTGCGGAGTTTCAACGTGGGCGTTCAAGCCTTGAAGATGACCCTCGCTCTGGACGTCCAAAAAGTGCTACTACTGAAGAAACGATTAATGCTGTGCATGACATGGTTATGGATGATAGACGATTGACCAAACGTGAAATTGCTGAGGCTGTGGGCATCTCAGATGAACGGGTATTACACATCTTGCACGATGAATTACGCCTGAGAAAGCTGTTGGCAAGATGGGTGCCGCATTCGCTAACTCTGGATCAGAAACGCACTCGAGTAAAACTTTCTCAAGAACATTTGGCCCGTTTTCAAAAGAATAAAACAGATTTTGTGCGTCGATTCGTAACCATGGATGAGACTTGGGTTTACCACTATGATCCGAAGCTGCGACAACAAACTGCAGAGTGGACAGAACCCGGTTGTTCAGCTCCGAAGCAAGTGAAGGCGTCAAAATCGTCAAAGAAGGTTATGGCATCAGTTTTTTGGGATGCGAAAGGAATTTTATTAATAGATTACCTTCAAACCGGTAAAACGATAACAGGTGAATATTATAAAAATCTTTTGGACCAGTTGGATAAAAAAATTCGTGAGAAAAGACCTGGTTTGCTGCATAAAAAAATCATTTATCACCAGGACAACGCACCTGCTCATATCAGCGATGTTGCAAAGGCGAAATTGGTCGAATTAAAGTACGAACGCTTGGAACATCCACCCTATTCACCAGATCTGGCTCCGTCCGACTTCCACCTCTTTCCACATCTCAAAAAATTTCTACGTGGAAAGCGTTTCTCATCACATGAAGAAGTCATTGCAGCCGTAAATGGGTATTTTGAAGGCCTTCCGGAATCGCACTTCAGAGATGGGATACATGAATTGGAGAATCGTTGGAAAAAGTGTATTGCTCTTAAGGGAGAATATACTGAAGAATAAAGTCATTTTTTGAATCATAAAATTGTTTTTTCATTTCCGCTCCGCGAACTTTTCAACCAACCTAGTAGAATTAACATGCTTGATTGAGGACATTTGAAACAACAGAAACATTTTTAATTTAATTTAAAATAAATAAAAGTTAAAAAAAAAAAAAAAAGAATAAGAATATTTTATTTTTACAAAAGATGAAAAATTAAAAACAATAAAGCAAAAGTACCTTAGTTTTTAGAAAATCTTGTTGATTAAAACTTTTTTATTTTTCGAAATTCTATCAAGTTTTAATTTTTTAATATAAATTTTCTATTCTCATTGGGATGAAACGTCTTGAAAATAGTAAATATTCTATTCTATATGTTAGCAGTGATGACTTCATAACTTTTCATTCATTATTTGTACAAAATAGAAAACTGCTTTCTTATTAAAACTGAATGTGCTATTTAATTATTATCAAGTGAATAATATTTTATATACTTGATTATGTACTTAATAAATATGTAATAGACTTATATAATTATAATATATATCAGTGTAAGTATATATATATACTTGTACAAATATAATAAATAACTTATACTGACGTACATTTCGAAAAACTGTGAAACTAGTGACTTAACAATTTTTTTTGTTGTTGTTTGTGAGCACACTTCAAAGAAGTTTCAATTCAAAGTTATATAAATATATATTAGCTAAATTTATTATTTATTGTAACTTTTTCAATAAATAATACGTTTTTTAATAAACAATAGCCCCCAATATGAAAACAACAAGTTGATAAAACATTTTTTCTTTTATCAACTTAATTTAAATTCATTGATAAATATTAAATTCATAGACTTATCTCTTAATGTTCAAAATTATCACTATATAAAGTTTGCTCCCCCCTCAACTTGAATGGGTTACAATTTGATTGTGATTGATGATTGTGCCCCCCTCATTTCAAAACCCGTGTCGTCGGCCCTGATATATATATATATATATATATATATATATATATATATATATATATATATATATATATATATATATAAATATATATATATATATATATATATATATATATATATATATATATATATATATATATATATATATATATATATATATATTATATATATATATATATATATATATATATATATATATAAAGAGTTTTGATTATTTGAAAAAATACAACTTTGTGATGGAGCTTGAAGTTTCATGCCCTTCGGCAATCATCAGCCATATTTTATTCTTTAAATAAAGAAAAAACCGTTAAAAAATACAAAATACTGAAATTAACAGAAAAAAAAACATAACAAAACAATGAGTTCTGACGTCAAAA